ACATTCGTCATTCAACCTGAGTAAATAGACCAAAATACAAACAGTTACATGTCAATTTATTGATTTAATATACCAGATCAACAAATGAATAATAATTGATCGTTAAAAAAACGACATCAACATAAAATAAAGCAAGTCGCACACAGCAGAAAGCATAATGTGCATGTAAGAAAGCAACATGTAAAAGTCAGAATGCAAGATGTATATGCCAGAATGCATAATGTACAAGTTAGAAAGCATGATGTACAAGTTAGAAAGCACGATGTAACGAAAGCAAGTTGTAATTTTGGCATAAATAACCATCCATAACAAACATATATATACCGGTGGTGGGCAAGATTGTGTCAATGTTTGTCATACCAAATGAGATAAAACTGACAATAGATCCATTTTAAACGTAACTTTTTATAGTACATTCTTATAAATTCTTGAAAGACATCCGACGACTTGATGGCCAAACATAGGTCATCGTAAATGTAGATTTTCTCAAAGAAGAGAAATAGCACAACAAAACAACGCCCAGTAGTTTTAGAAAAGAAGACATTTTAAGCTTTTGCTATATGTTCATAATTATAATCAATGACCAGCGATACGGGCCAACTTTAGTCAAGGACTATTATTTGAACAATCTGATAGCGGTCTATAACACAACGTTTCATGCGAAATATCTAACCTCTAGCCTTTGTCAATTCAAAGAAGTTGATTGTTAAGTATGTACAATATATATTTAAGGAAAGTCATTGACCGCGTGCAGCCAAGATGTATTTGACCACAGGGCTAAAAGTTCAACATTTTTGTAAAGTTTTTTTTCGGGGATGTTACACACAAATCTAATGTCTATGCCTAGCGTTTTGAGGAAAAAAGACGTTTAAAGTTTTTTCTATAATATGTACATAATGATTATCAATTACCCTTGGGTGGAGCCAATTTTGACCCCAGGGCTATAATTTGAACACATTTGGTAGTGGTCCACTACACAATGTTTCATGCCAATTTTTTAACCTTTCACCCCTTTGTCAATTCAGATAAGGTGATTTTAAAGTTTTTACTTGATACATATAACGAAAATCAATAACACCGGGGGCCGGGCAAATTTAAAATGCAGAGTTAGAATTAATAAATGTTTGTAGAATTTCATTAAATTATGCTACATACGATATATCTTAGCTCTAGGCCTTGCACTCTCAGAGAAAATATTTTTAAAGAATTTATTCACAAATCTATGTTTAAACCTTCTGTCGAGCAAAGTCATTTGAACCATATAAGAAGAGATTTTGGCTAGAAACATCCCAACATTTGTATGCCCCCCCCCCTTCGAAGAACAGGGGGTATATTGTTTTGTTAATGTCGGTCTGTCGGTCGGTCGGTCTGTCTGTCTGTCGGTCTGTTCGTCAGTAGACCACGTGGTTTCCGCTGATTATCTTGAAAAGTATTCATCACAAAGTCATCATATTTCACATGGTGATTGGTAATATTTAGTAGATGATCCCTGTTGATGTTAGGATCACTAGATCAAAAGTCAAGGTCACAGGGGCCTTAAATGTTAAATTGTTTCCGTTGTATATTGAAAAGTATTCATCACAAAGCCGTCATATTTCACATGGTGATTGGCTATAACTAGTAAATGATAGTTTGGGGTCATTATGTCAAAAGTCAATGTCATAATGGCCATACATGTCAAAATGTTTTCCGCTGATTTACTTGAAAAGTATTCATCACAAAGTCATCATATTTCATATAGAGATTAGTCATAAATAGTAAATGACCATATTGATTTTGGAGTCCTAACGTCAAAGGTAAAGGTCGCAGGGGCGTTAAATCTTAAAATGATTTCACTGATTATCATAAAAAATGTTCATCACAGAGTCGACATATTTCACACGGTGATTGGTCATAACTAAAAGTTGACCCCTATTGATTTGGGGTAACTAGGTCAAAGGTAAAGGTCATAGGGGCCCTAAATGTCAAAATGGTTTACTCTTATTATCTTGAAAAGTATTCATTACAAAGTCTTCATATTTAAGATGGTGATTGGTCATAAATAGTTTATGACCAATATTGATTTTGGGATCACAATGTCAAAGGTCAAGGTCAAAGGGGCCTTAAATGTTAAAATGAATGGTTACTGCTAATTATCTTGAAAAGTATTAATCACAAAGTTGTTATATTTCACACAGTGATAGTTCATAGATAGAAGATGACCCCTATTGATTTTCTGGTCACTATGTCAAAGGTTAAGATGACATCGGCCTGGAATGAAAGTATGGTTTCCGCTTATTATCTTGGAAGCTATTTATCACAAAGACTTTCTATTTTTAATACTGATTGGTCATAACTATTAGATGACTCCTATTGATTTTGGGTCACTAATTCAAAGATCTAGGTCACAGGGGCTTAAAATGTCTCAATGTTATTATTTTTCAATAATTGAACATACGGGATAAACATTTAGAGCAAGTATCTTTAACAAAATTACCAGTAATGTGAGTCAAGGACTAGAAAGGTGGGCATATGTGTCGTTCGACTTTTCTTATTTTTTTATAGCTTTGGTCCATTGGTTTCTGAAAAGAAGTCGTTTGTAAAATAAATTGACAGCTGACAGACGATGGACGTAGACAAATTGTAATTACAAAAGCACACCTTGAGCACTTAAAAACATTTACTAACAAATCATTATAATAATGTTTTCAATACAATAAGTTGGCCTGAATGGTTAACTTTTTTAATCAAAACGACAAACCGGGTGTTTCGTTTCAAACAAGATTAAACAAGGAAGCTCACTAATGTAATTTATTCAAGTGAAAAATATTTCCGGTGCCAATTTTTGTATAACGCTGTTGGATTTCGCACCCTACTGTTGCTAAGATATAGAAATTATTAAACAAAAGAAATAATAAGAAAGAAATGTACTTTATCAAGATATCAGCAAAAAAAAAACTTATGTCTTAGATAGGATTGTATTGTGTTTACATCAGTGCCCAATTAGTTATTATTGTATATTTGACATGGCGTCTTTGTAGCGCGTTTACGAATGAGTTTTATATTTGGGATGACGTAATTACGCTGCTTACGGATTGGTGCAGTTCCGTCAAATTATTTATTAACTGATATGTATAAATTCTGTAGCGTTAGTGTATGTGAGATATTATTTTCAGTATTGCAAGAAAAGAAAACATTATAATAACTGAAAATATCAATAAAATGCTTTTCTATTGATGCTTTAAAAGGCTTTGTAAACTATATAATCGAAGGAGAGAGCATAAAAGTAAATGGCAGAGGCCTTCATAAAGAAATATTTATTGTTAAATTATTCAACAGGATCTTTGTGTGAAATGTTTTGCCTGCTGGAACATATCTTTCATCAGGATAAAATTAAGGTTATTTTCAATGAATGTGAACCATATTTAATTGCAAGACATACTATGTACTTAAGATAGAGGGTTTTTATACGAACAATGAAATGTTTATATTTATTGACATTGTTAGTGTGTGAGTAGAAATAATATTGATCAGAACGTTATTCACTACATTTACTTTATAGTTCCTTATGTGAACACAAGAAAATCATTGGAAAGAAATAGACAAGAAATGTTAGAACTATGAAACTGCTCATTTATTTATGACAACAATCATACTATCTTTTAATTAGACTGAAATGAAAGAAATGAACTGACATGTTTAGAAAGAACACAATTTAGCGCTACAACTGACAAAAAGCTAGGTTAACGCAATAGCGAAATTGCTGAAAAGGAATGGTGAAACACAACAACATATCTGTGTAATTCATTGATAAGGGCCTAATAAAATGTTTCTTTGACGATTTCCCGCGTTAAAAGGGAAACGCAACGTCAAGCCAATTCCATAACGATCGCACTAATACTCGTTTGATGCTGCGATAGGACAGCTTAAGCTATTGCCGAAAGACAAATTACCGAAAATTGTGCTAGGAATCTTAGACAAAAGGTCTCAGTTTGAGTTATTTTCCTTTTTCAATTCAAAAAGAAGAAACATACTTTTAAAAGTCAAAAGTTTGCTTGTATATAAGTTTTTACGAGTAGTGGTGGTGAAAATGTGGTTTTATGCTGTATGCGGGAAACATGCAAAGTAGTTTGCTTTATTATCATTTAATTATGATGTAAACATTATTTATTAATCCAAAAATAAACGTCAAGTATAACGAGGATACACGTGTGCTTTTTATTTTCGTCAGATTTGTAACAGGTTTATCGACTTTCATGCCTTATCAACAATATATAAAAGTTGTTATTAAAAAAAAAATTAAAATGAGATATGATTGTTTTCGAAAACGATTTTTTTCTAGTTTCTAAAGGAGATAACTAATTTCACTAATGACGTTTCATGACAATGCAGTTCAAGAAAACTTACATCGATGCGCTTTGATGAGTTGATGCAAAACAGTGCCCATTTAGATGGAGGCACAAGCTAATTTAGACATGATTTCATAATATTTTGTTCCGGTAAACTACCCAATTGCATGAAATCAGACAATAATGTAGGATCTTGGTTATAACATTGTTTGTCAATTCAAAGAAATTTTAAAAAAGATATTTTAGAATAAAGCAACAAATTACAATGGGTCACGAAGTGTTAAGCTTATGTACGTGAATGTTTACATTTACTTTTGTTTTTATTAAGGACAAAAAGTACAAAATAAATGGTGTATTCTTCAGTAAATCATGCGTCTTATTCGAATTAATTTAAGAATCGATTTCTTCGCAACCGAGTAAAAACAATTTTCAGTTTGAAAGATATTAGAAGAAAGGTCAATCCGTAGAAGGATGAATAACAATACATAAGCCATACAATGCGTTATGTAGAAAAGGGACAGAAACGAAGGTTAAGTTATCAAAATTGCATTTGAAAGGACATTCGTAGCTCGCAAAGTTTACTAATGCTATTGACATCTTTGCTTTAAACAGTTTCTCATAATAATTCAAAACTTTGAGAATGCAATTACTTGACATAAGAATTTTGCTCACCTTTCCGTGTCAGAGAAAAATCAACAGGTGTTGGAATTTTGAACCCATTACAAATCATTTCATCACTGCTGTCCGTACAGTCCGGGTATCGATCACATATCAGACGAAAAGGAATGCATTTGTAATCACCAGAACAAAGAAATGAATTTCTGCAGGACTCTTAAATGGTAAGATAACATGTGTTTATGAACCTTGATTTAACAGAATAGTCACATTATTGTAAAATTCGTATTCCGGAAATTATAATTATATACATGTATTTAACTGAAACATTTTATTATTTTTTGACTATGACAAAAATATTAATAGTTATAAAGATTTTCGACAGGTTATATGGCCCTATATAAACGCTTGTTTGAAAATACAAATCGAGCCGCTGGGCAAGGGTTATATTGTAAACAACCGTTTATATACGGCCATATAACCTGCTAGAAGCATTTATAACGAATTTATAAAACAGCAAGCATAATTTTTAGAGGAATAAATCAAGATTTCCGACAGCAGTCGTGTATATTAAACTATATAATCGTCACGATTATCCAATGAAAAGCGACGTTACAAACGTGCAGTATTATAATAGTAAGTATAACATTTTGATTACAGCTTTTTCATATTTTAATTTGCAACAACTGTTTTGCCCCGCACCTCTATGAATTCGAATCATCCCGACAGGGACTTTGGATTTTTTATGTGAGTAATCTTTCCAGCTAGCTTACGGAATGTCGGTGGTCCTACTCAGGTGCACGTCCGTGTCAAAAATGATGTAATGACGGGGACTTGTGCTTTCCCACACTAAGAACATATAATATAAATTTAAACACCACTTACCTTTTTTTATATACAAACCGGTACAAATAGTGATTAAAATACTTATGATTTGAAGGAATGACAAATTAAAATAATGGTTTTGAAAATATTAAAACATTTTGATATGAATTTATATTACATTGTGTTGGCGTCATCTTTGACAACTTTTCCCTTTTCACATTTTGAACATGATGTTTCATGCGATATTTCTTCACACAATATTTTTGATTTTTTTTTATCAGTTTAATTGAAATAAGTCAGATATGTTGTTCTTAATCATTCGCTGTCATTTGTAATTGATGTTGGTATACATTATAAAATAAATATTGTATTTCTTTGAGATGTACTATGCTCAAATTGATAATTGAAAATATTGGTTATTATTACGCAGTATTTGTTAATGATAATAAAACAAACATATTTTGACTTCACACAAAGTAGATATTTTACGGTGTAAGTCATACACACTGTAAAAGTGGACAAACTAGAACAATATAGTTTCATTTAAAATCTGGCAGTTTTTTTATAAAGAACCTGCAGGTTTATTTGTAGTAACGAATGCAGATTCCCATACATAGTTGATACCTTTTTGTTTTATTTTAATAAAACAGCTTGTGTAGGACTTCAATAAATCTCTGCAATAAAAAAATGTTTATTCAAAGATGTGTATGGTATATCTTTTAGTTAATAAGTATAGTAATATAATAACGTATACCAACCACAGTTATTTTCATCGCTATTATCCAAACAGTCAGGTATAGCATTACAGTGTTTTTCTGATGGAATGCACTGTTTATTATCACAAGGAATTTCATTTTTATCACACTCTCGGTATTCTACAAATGTTTGTAAAACGAATTAAAGTAATTAAAGTAAAACATGCAAGAATCAAATAAAGCTTTAAATTCTGAACTTGACATGTACTCGTAAGTTAGTTACACAATAAATTTGGTTTTTAACCTTTACATCAAAATATATTTTACAACGTTTTTCTCGGAGAGTTTATGCTTTCACAATTTGTTTCATAAAATTATCATTGTTGACGTACCCCTCTAGGAAATGTAAGTTTTCGACGTATCACAAATATCATTATTATTGAAAGCACTTATCGTAAGTTATCATGATAGGTATCATAAAACATTTGTATTTAAAACAATAATATCAATTTAACAATATACATTATATCCACACGAATTTCGTATATAAAACGATTTACCGTGTCCCTAGACATTTGTTATAGGCTTGCTAGAATGTTTAAAAAAGTAAAATGAACGACCTGAAGTTCGGACGATAAGGCAAACAAAAATTAAGAATATTACCACATTTTTCATCTGTACCGTCCACACAGTCGGATATAAAATCGCACATGTGACTTAATTTAATACAATGTCCGCCATCACAAGAGAATTCGTTGTCATCACATTCTAATAAATATATAGTATAAATTGATAATACAGTAATATCGTTAACTCTATTTAATAGATAGCGTTCAACACAACAGCTTAACTACAAAGCACCTACCTGCCAATAATATGTTTTAAAATATAATTATTCCTTTATTTCAAGTCTGTGCGTAAATGTAGCATGGCATAAACAAACTATTCGTTTGCAAATTTCAGAAAGTAAATGGGAAATATAATGGAAAAGTGTAAATTCAGAAGACAAAATACCAATTTTATCGTGAGAACAATTGACTTCGTCTGAAGCATCGAGACAATCTATGACGTTATCACATTTAGCTAATGTAGATATCCACTCTTTGCTCTGTTCACAGGTAAAATATGCCTCGCGAATAAGTCGTTTAGGTAAATTAGACTGCATCATTGGTTTGCCAATAATCGTGAGATTGTGATCTTAAAACAAAAAAGCATGAAAATCAATTACCGATTCGGATACCTTTAATATAACTCACATTTTTCGGCACTAAATACATGTAATGTATGAAAACTGGTTGTTAAAAAGCAATTGTTGGTAATGAATTTGAAATGAAATTGTAGCTACGAAGTAATGGTTAGTAAGGTACATCGCTAGATGCCAAGGAAGGTCACAAGTTGTTTGTTAACTTATTAAAGTCAATAATCACTGCAAAACTCCCTGGTTGCGATTGGTAGTCAATGGTTAGTTTTAATTTAATGTTTCTTCCGAAAGCCAAGTAAATCAAGCTTTTATCTTTACAAATAGCAAAAATCATTGGAGGTAAATATTTACTCAAGGACCAAAGTTTGTCAAAGCTTTATAGATATTCATAAGACGTTATTTCTCACCATTTATCTAAGAAATAGTATTTGTTGGTTCAGAGGTGAAGATTGTCAAGTTTTCTCTACATTATATATTCGATTTTATATAAAACAAATGAATCTCCTGACGCAGGGTAAAATTTTACCAAAACGCTAAGCAGTGAGCACACTTGGTAAAGGTCTAAAAAAATGTTTCGTGCTAAATATCTAAGCTCTAGCTCGAGCGGGATCAGAGCCGATGTTTCTTAAACATTTTATATATTTAAAGGAAAACCCGTGACTCCATGTATCAGGCTTTTGTGGTTGTATAGGAAATAAGTAAAAAAACGCGCCAATTTCAAACAGTTTGAAAGTTTTTAAGACGACGTTTCCTAGTAATTTCTAATCTATATAAATTGTGTTTTAAAGAAGATTATTTAAGATTGAACTTTTTAGCTTTAGCTTTTCTTTTCGTATTCTACATCAGGCAATGGAGCATTTACACAAATGCTGTAAAAGGTCACCTTCGGATATTTAACCAACTGGTAAAGGAGTATGAGATTGTATTTAAATAAACTGTGAATTACCATGAACAATGGACACATTCCAATCAGTCTAATATTTTCCTCAGAATATTTATCAAATAATTTTAAAGATATTTTAATACAAAATGGATTGATATAATACTTTGTTAACATACAATTTTTTTTCACAAAGTGACTGTTAAAGAAATAAGGTAAACAATGTTTATTACAAGTGCTTTTCATGTATATAGCAAATGATTAAATATAGTTACTAGAAAACGGCTAATATTTTGAATATATTGTAAATGAAAAGCCAATTTTGCCCATGTGTTAAAGTGCTAATAATAAAGTTTTTAAAATGTATATTAAACCACTTATTTATCTTCATATAAATTTTTGTTCCAGTTGTTGTTTCATACAAAAGCATTTATCTGGTCTCTATAAGATTTATTTGCTTCCAAATAGGGTTACAACACAATGCGATTTTTTTCGACAAACAGAGGGTATATGCACACAACTACAAGTGACGTCATACGGAAGATTTGATCGCCGAAGTGAACTAGCAATGGCAATTGAAAAAATGGTTTCAAAATTTGGGGTGTTGAAGGGAACTAAATATGAAATTATCTGAAAAAAATCTGAAAGCAAAATTATGAAAAAGTGTCAAGTATATCAGCTTATGTAATTAACAAGAAGCACCGCAATGCATTGAAAAGCAGGTTTTTTATTGATGTGACAGGAATTAGATATGAAATATGGCAGTGAAGAAAAACTGTTATTTTTCGTACCAGTACAAAAAATTGGTTTCCTTAGTAAAAAAAAAATATAACAGATACCTGAGTATCAATGCCATGATGTATTTTCATGTAAGCTACACACATGCCAAGTTAGGTATCGAAGGTCAAAGTGTACTGAAGTTATTGCAAAGAAGCTGAAAATTATATTGTAAATAAGTGACCTTTTCCTTGCCCCCATATACCTAAGTAGCTATCAAAAGCTGCATCTCAATATAAGCTGCCAACAGAGGACGTTTGGCGTCAATAGGTCAAAAGTTACTACGAGGAAACATAATTTCTTTTTTAAGGAACAGTAACCTTGACCTTGTTCACATTCACCTGGGTAGCAATCCTAAGTTGCCTGTTGTTATAGGCTATCCACATACTTCATTTGTTGTCAATAGGTCTCAGCAAACTCAAGTTACTATGCGGTGACCTAATTTCTATTTTCATCAACAGTTGACGCCTGCCCGCCCAAGAAGTGTCTTGATACAAGCTACCCACATACTAAGTGATGTGTCAATAGATCGTAGCAACAGAAAGTTATTGCGCGGGAACTTCATTTATAATTCCTGCCTCTTGATATAAGCTACGCATTTGGTGTTTGGTGTCAATAGACCTTAGCAAACTAAAATTATTGAGCGGAAAGTAAATTTCAATTTTTAGCAACAGTGACGTGACTTTGACCTTGATCAAAGACATCTGGATTGGATTTCCAAGCTGTGTCTTGACATAAGATACCCATATACCAAATTTGGTGTCATAAGGCCTTAAGGAACTAAAAATATTGAGCAAAACACGAATTTCCATTTGTAGCAACAGTTAACTTGACTTTGATCACAGACACCTGGATAGCAATTCCAAGCTACAACATGAAATAAGCTACACACCAAGTTTGCTGTCAATAGGCAAAAGCAAACTCAATAGGCATTACAAAAACCCAGTTTTCGTTGAAATCATGGTTAATAAGCGCAAAGCGATATGTTGGAAGCTGTATCTATTACTTGAAATGCTTACAGTTAGAATGAAAATTATCTCTTCAGGTGAGGTTATCTATTATTAAGATGGGAGTTATTGACGAAGTAACTTATGCTTTATCGAATAAGGGACTCACTGCACTTTGTTTTTCAAACACAATTTTCTGCCCAGCAGCTTCTTGGTATAGGCTGATCACTCTAAAGCGAAAACGGAGATTCGGAATATCGGTCAAGGTATATAGGTGAACTCTCAGTAATATTTGAACTAGTGTTAAAAAGGCCTTTTATGAGAAAGAAAGACATATGTTTCCTAGTGTGTTTCACGAGGAACACAATCATGTCATTCCACCAGGACACTGCATCGAATTAAAACTTTTTTTTCAAGACAAGCATCGTCGAATCAACTTTTAATCGTCTGTGTGTATGTCACTTTAAATCGTCTTTGTGTATGTGTGTAATTTGGCCTTTTAAAGAAGCTCAAATATACATACTTGTCAGTCCCAAAACATGCACTGAAGAACAAGTAATTTTGCATTTTATCGGGAAACGAAAACTTTCATATTAAGACCAAAGCGTTTAAGTATTATAAAAAAGTGTCATGGATGTCATATTGAGCATTTAATACAATAAGGTTTTTTACTAAGCCTTGATGAAGTTTTTTTTTGTCAAAAAATAAATTTCACAATTCTGATATACGTCATGGAAACGCAACTTAAGAACAACAATTTCATGTTTAATATAATGGAAACGAAATGCAAACCTTTAAATTTGTTCTGACATGACAATTCATCCGTAAAGTCTAAGCAGTCAAATGTTCTATCACACCAATTCATTTTCGGTATTGAGGAACCAACGACGCAATCCATCTCTGATACCTTTGTTTTAGGCATAGAGAGGTTACTTTCAACTGACGTTAAAATGAAAAATAAAATCATTTAAACAAATTTATGCATATCAGTCGTTTTGAATACTAATATGAGAAATAAACATAACTTGTTTTGCTGTTTGACTTGACAGAGTTATTATATAACCTCAATGCGATACTTGCACTGTGTAGTTTTAAAATTGATGTTACACACATATTTATCTTTTATTGACATGTGCATTCAGTTTCCTTTAACATAAGTATTTCGTTAGAGCTGAGTTATGTTATCTTTAAATGACGTTTAATCAAATGGGAATTTCGACTTAGAAAAGAAAACAGTGTCTTCGAAGAGATATAAATTAAATAGTATTATTATTAGTTTTGACAAACAACACTCGAAAAATTTAAACAATGGGGCCATGGTGGCCCTTATATCGCTCGCCTGATTATGAAGGCTCAATCCAGTTTTATTTGGGTTATGTGACCTAGTTTTTAGCCACATAAGACCCATATTTAATCCTGACCTAGTAATCACCAAAACAACCTTTCTGGCCAGTTTTCAAGATATTTGCATCACAACAGTAGCCTCTAAGGTGTAAACAAGGTTTTTTTCTATATAAGGGCTGTGTGACCTAGATTCTGAACACAAGTGACCCATATTCAAACTTGACCTGGCTTGAAATCATTATAACTACCATTCTGACAAATTTCAAGGAAATGTTGTATTAAACAGAAACTCCTAGAGTGTAAACAAGGTTTTCCAATATCAAGGCTGTGTGACCTTGATTTTACCCCAAGTTATCCATATTCGAACTTTACCTATAAATCATCGACCAATTTTCTAACATCGAAGAATATGTAAAATATGAACAGCGACACATTATATGTTATCATTAAAATATATGCATGCATTTGTTATAGAAAAACTGACTCAGACTTTATAGAAAATTAATTTCTAATTACAAATTATGCTTTTTTCGAACTACAATCTTCATTTGATCATTATATTTATGATATAAACCCATGAAATATTGAGTTGCAGGATCTTAAAGTAAATGGCTGCTATGGAGTCACTCACCGGATGCTATTGAAACTAAGCTTTTGTAGATTTAGATACAAATTAAAGACATGTTTTTACCATACTATAAACATAAAAGGAAAAATCAAAGTTCCCTAGGGCAGGGTCAATTTTGACATTTAGGCTTGATTTGAAAAAACAAATTGTAGGGTTCCAAGAGCATCAGATTTATGATATAAAACCCTAAAAATGTTGTGCAGCAGGGTCATAAAATAGAGCATGACAGTTTAAATTGTGATTGTGCGTTGGTAGTATATCACTCCGAATCACGGCTGTAAGTCACACTGAATTCACCAGAGCACAGTTCAACCACCGCATCGTTCCTGGGCAGGCTATCAAGCAGCTTACCAGTACTGATTGCCTTCACCTTTACAAGGAACTAAAACTTATGTTCATGCCAGAGCAGAGGTATAGTGCGAATGACTGTAGGAATGATTTCATGATCAATCAAAATGAGAGTTACCTGCGCCGTCGAACCCGGGTCGCACAATTAACAGTCAAACGCTCTACCTATTGAGCTAACCGGGCGGCCACTTATATCACCTATTAGTCAACTCTTGCTCTTTATACTGCGTTTATTTGAAAAGATAAGTAGGTTAAGGAAGATTTATAAATTTATTTTTTATTTAATAAATATTTTCTTCATATCTGAATTAACAAAAAATAAAAAAAAAATAATAATAATTTTATTTATTGTTAAAGTTGCAAAACGAAAATCAACATCTCCTGGGGCAGGGTCAATGTTAACCTTTAGGCTTTGTTTGATTAAACTTCGTAAACATCTACTAGAAGATAGTTCATGCCAAACATCTAAGCTCTATTGATTTTTGATTTTCAAAAAAAATAGCCGTGCTGACCAAGATGAGCAGAGCCATTTGAACAATTTTAGTAGAGCTTTATGCTAAGAACATCCCAGAAAAAAAATCACCACATTTGGCCCAGTGATTTCTAAGAAGAAGTTGTTTGTATAAAAACATGACGACGGACGAAAAAACACACGGACGCACTGACGCACGGAAGCACGGACGCACGACCGGACTATGGACGCCGGACAAATTGTGATCAAAAAAGTTCACATTGAGCACTTTCTGCTCAGGTGAGGTAAAATATATAAAGTATGAATATAACTTGCGTTGCAAAAAGCACGGCTCCCGCATTAATTTCTCAGAATAACTGACATAGCACCATGGAATATCTTGTGCAGAGGGATCCTGACACAAAGTTGAATTTTCTACAGCGCCACTTAAGGCGGAAACGTTGGTGTCAAAATCACGTTTAGCATTGTCAGATAGATTAAACCAATTCTGACAATTTCTACCAGAGTATGGTGATGTTATCAGTTCGTTCTGTGCATGATTATTACACACATCTTTCTCCATGAAATCACCTAGAAAGCATATTGATTCGAAAATAGATTTTACATTCAATACAAAATATGATTGTAAATTGTCTCTGAATTCTTGTTGAGTTTTCTAAGTGGACATATTAATCATGTTGCTATAAAAGTCTTGCAAGACGGACAAACGTGTTTGCAAAAATAACAAAAATGGCGTAGACGAGGCAATTCGTAATTGTTTTCGTTTTAATTATCAATAATATAGTTACTTTTGGAATCCCTTTAAACGAAAAAATGAATAATTGAACGAAATATATGCCACATACTGTCATATATCTTGGTGTCCAATGAAAACGGTTTTTCACAGATGAAAAAATTGAGACGCTTATTATAACAATCTTCTGTCTCCCAAAGCTTTTCGGTGTTAAAGTACATGAATGAGGTACGTACACAATCCCCAGGTGAAGGTTCTCTTCGTTTCCTATTATTATAATGCTTCATAGCAGTTAACTATATCATTACAAATAATCATACATATTATACTGAAACAACTAAGGTTGCGACCGTAAAATGTTTTTATTGTATCAAACTAGTTCGCAATAAAAATTTTATTGTGCAGTCTATAACTTAAGAAATATACCATTTAAGTTTCAAACATGCATTTTTTTCATCATCTTATGGTTTTATCTATATAATATATGAGGTGAAGGTTTTATAAAATGTGTAATTGCACAGAAATGAATAGGAAAATAGAACTCAGCTTTCAATTACCAATTATTTATTCTCTACATTAGTAGGTTTAGGTAAAATTGTACCATATGCTTTATCTAGAAACCATGCAAATTATTTTTATTATGATAATTCATCGATTACAAATTTAATATTACTTTATACTGCTTAGCACTTGAAATAAGTTGAATTGTCTCTGTCTTTGACATTGGCCGAAGTCAACCGATGTTTAGTTTCTTAAAATTATAAACATCAGGGGTCGTGTTCAAAACTTATCTTAAGTTTTTGTTTGACTTAAATATGAAATTTTTCATATTTTTTGAGAATTGTTTAAGATTTTAGATAAGAATCTGTAATTAACTTAAAAGTGGTATTCACACCATTTTTATATTAAGTTTTGTCTTAAAGTGACATTATGCTCATATTTTCATAGTCAAGTTGAGCTGAATTTACTTTATATCTCAAAAGATTGACTGTCAAAAATTAAATGGTGTTTAACCAACAGACGATATTGGAAAATGTTTAGGATAAAATCATAAATCTGCATAAAATTTAAAAAGACTGCCCCACTCCTTTTATAAAAAGGCGTTATAGGTAAATTCAAATGGATATTTACATTTGTATCTGTGCGTTATTTATTGTTTATGCTAACTTATTTATTTAATCAAAAGGAATTATGGCAAAATGAAAACTTATTTAGATATTCACCCGTTCACTCACTATTATACCCTTGGATGGGCATAATGTCACTTTAAGGTTGACAACATTTGTCTTATATATAAGTCAGCTTCTACCCTATCCTAAAGTTAAGAAATTTCTTAACTTGGCAGATGATTATCTTAAAGATGGTGGACGGTAAATCGTTGATTAAATTGAAAACTTGTGTTTTTAACTGGAGTAAAATATTACATTGAGGTAATAAACGCCAATTATTACAGCGATAATTATTTAGTTCAAAGCAATTTATACACTCGATATATGTGAGTAAAACCAGGAAGTTAAATCGGCAAAAATTTAAGACACAAAGTAGACGCTCATTTCACAAACCGGAGAAAAATCGTCAGTTTCTTGCTTGTAAGTACTTGTAAAATTTGTGGAAAGAAAAATGCAAAATGTAGGTTTATGTGTTGTTCTTATAGAAACACGTAACTGCTAAACGCTGGTAAGTGTTCATTTGTGATGTCACTGGTTTTCTCAGGAATCACTTAAATGACATTATTTCTTAGCTAAAAGTTGCAATGCTCAGCGTACTATTTTAATTGAACCATTTACATATACAAATTGAGAATGTTCCTTATATCCATTGTGTTTATTGAAAACCTGAAAAATACTGAATTGATAAAGATTTGCTCCACTGATGATTCACCCCATAACGTTTCGCCCGACTTCAGTGATTATTTGCTTCAGATTAGCGACGATTTGCCCCACTTTAGAACAATCATTTTAAACGTCCTTGATGATGTCTCTAATTTACAAGTCTTATTACACTTTTTCAAAAATTAAACATACATATTTTTTAAACATACATACATTTATATTATGACAAGATATCGGATAGATCTACCAGAAATAAATACATTTTTATTGAAGAGTTTTTGTCAGCCAATTTAAATGCTGTAAAATGTTATTTCTTAAGTTTTTGTTATTAAAAATATTGTGTATTGATCTAACTTCCGCTTGAAATTGACCCGCAAACTTTAATGTCAATTATACTGTAGCTTTCATGTGCAGACGTTTAAAACAGGTTCGCTGCATATTGTTATGGTAAACAGACAGCCAAGTTGTCATTTTCAATGCCCGGTAAAAGCGTTTGAGATGAAATTTTTGTTCCAAATTTATTATTAATATTTTCCATACAAATGATATAATAATGTTAAAGTTTATTTCTCTTCATATTTACATTCGGACTTTAATTATTAAAGTCCTTGATTTTCAGAAGAAAAGAAACAACTTCCAATCATCGAAGGCAAAAAGTAAATTCTCGACATTTAATAAAAATTTATTATAGAAACAGAAATTTGCTTATTTATTATTGTTTTAATTTTAGCTTATTTATGTTTAAGAATGTTGTCCAGCTAGCCTAACATACGGCTAGAACTTTTGGCTAACAGTACGGGTCCATACGGCTAGCCACTGCCTTGAATCTAACTCTAAGAACAGAAATTGACCATTGTAATTGTTAAGTTATCAATATTACAACTGATAACGATTCGCCCGACGTCAATTATCATCATTGCACAATGTTCTCAATTATTTTATTATAAAAGGTTTATTTTAGCATAGAATTACAAGAAACTACAATTGTCAACCATGTATTACAATTTGCTTTAAGTAACAAAAGATTATGTGTAAATTAAACAATTATCACTTATTTATAACAATTATTTAATTTATAAATTTCAACCCTGAAAGTAAGATACATATACCAATGATATTAGAAATTATAAGTTCTATCAAACTGATATTTTTTCATTCTATCTCTAAATAAAATCTTATCTATAAAAAGTATCCCAAATCAATGCAGAAAATACCAAAACCATATTTTCTTTCCATCAAAATGAATAAAAAATGTTTCTTAAAATTAAAATTTAAGTTGGGACGAATCGTTACTAAGTGGGGGCAATTCTTTACCAAACTACTCAGTCACTCTTCGGGTTTTGAACACCAAACTTCTTGATTACAAGGGGATAAAGGGTTGATCCAACAGCAAGACTATATAATATTATACACCTTCATTTTCAACACGTGATTTTGTTCATAAAATATTATCCATGAATGTCCAACATTTGCATTCATCGGCCAGTGTGTTTCACATTTAGTCACCAAGTCACTACAGCCCAACATATTGTGCACCAGGGTTTGTTATATAAACGATGGTCACCGACATCTATGTTATACAAGTTTGTAAAATCTGTCCCAGTGTCTTGTCACCAAAATATTGAGACTACAAAATATTCTGTTTTTATCATTTAGTGACCAAAGTGATAATTCTATCTAGATGATTAATATTGTAGAAGGACCTAAGTATATTTACTTCAAATACTAGTTTGGTTACTGTACCTTTTGACAAAAGTAAAGAAAATATTGAATATTATTTTTTATGCTACAAAATTAAATAAAATTTTATTAGTGACAGCAATTAGGTAAAAACCCTTACACAGAGGGTTATTTTAATTTAAAGGAAAATGATATGCACACGTATACACTTTGACTTTCATAAATGAAATAAACAACCCTATTGAGATACACAGTTTAAATTATTGCATTGAAAAGTTGCAGTTTTTTTAAAAGGCGGCCAAATCTAACACAGAGAATTCAAAGAAAAATAGATTTATGATGGGATGAAAAGCTCAAAGCGTATTACTTTGTTGGTATATTTAAGAAAGGTTTTAAAAAAATCAGAAATTGTAAGCCTACAGTTACCAATTCTGTGGCATCAGCCTTACAGTTTGGTTTAGGTTTTCAATGTACCATCAACATTAAAAACTTTTTGGGGTATTCAATTGAAACTTAATACACTTTTTATCAAAACTGGTGGTTATTATCCAAGGCTCATAATTCTAGCATGAATTTTGCCAGAATTATAGCCCTTTATGATCAGAATTTCCTGGTTTAAGTTTAGCATGCTACATCAATCTTCAATACTACTGCAGGTATTCACTTAAAACTTAATATTCAGAAATATAATTGGAGATCAATATCAAAGGCCCATAACGCTAGCATGGATTTTTACCGAATTAGCCCAAATTTCCATGAAGCAGATATTTCAAACCTAGAAAGATTTCATAACGCAGTTCAAAATACTGCAAAATATATGCACCATTATAAGCATATTGTCTGTTCAAAGAAATTGAACACACATTTGTTTTGTGCAATGTTGTTCAGGGTTAGACACTTAACCAACCATAATGATACCCTTCTGTAATGATATTTAGTCATCCAGGCTAATAGTAGTATGAAGAATAAAGATATCAACATAGTAGCAACATGTTACATAATTTATGCTGCTAAACATAGCACTGCTTCATTGAACAAATACATGGAGAATGAATCGGAATTAATGTGTAGTGACTATATACTACCATAATGTATTCGATTTTCTATCTGACAGCTCATATTATGTAACATCAAATATCGCCTGTTGAAACTTTAAATAATGGACACTAAATACATGTAAAACACATAGGAACGACAGAGACTTTATGTGCTCATTAACACTGGAACACATTAGTGGAATCTCACTCTAGAAGGCCACAAGTGATCCAAACGTTTCATAGATTGGTAACATCATCATGAAGCCTTATTGATACTAACTTTTATGCAGGACATGCCATTATCCAATTTCCTGTGTGATAACGTGTTTAATTTTTCACTGCCGATTGTGTTTATAATGTGCAAGAAGACATGGTCTAATGTTTTCAGAAAACACAAAAATATTCTAGCTTGTGAGAAACTTGAAGACCATTAAAAGTATTACCTACCTTGAAATAAAATTTCAGTTATGGAGAAAGTACTGTTAGAATTAAGACCAGAATGGTCAATATATGTTTCTGTTATTATCTTAGTGTTTTTTTTAGTAAGATTATAATCTCCACTATTTAAAGATGAAAAAAGGAATGATATTCTCATGACTGACCTGCTGGTGTTGTTAATTTTAATTATAGACATACACTTCAAATACTTACAAATTTATTACATTGATACTTTATATGTGGAGGAACCTTGATGAGTTCAACCTGCACATCCCCCCAGTTTCATGTCAAAAGGTCAGTCACTGGGACTTGTGATAAACAAACATAAAACTAGCAATTAAATCAGCATATACTGAGGAACTTTAGACTTTGACAAATTGTATGTACCAGATTTAACCATGATGAGTACTGATTTTGTGTCAAAAAGTCATGGTGGTGGGTCCCAATGCTCTTTGTTTATGTCTTTTTTTAAGATTTGTAAGGTCAACTGCAGTTATGAAATGTGAGCACAGCCTGCTTAGTCAAAGGTCAAGGTCGATGTGACTTTTAATCAAAATATCTATTTTTGTAGAAAATATGTGGTTTACTTTCTAGATAAGTACTGAGAAAACCGCCTCCGTGGTCGAGGGGTTAGTGTCGATGACTTCTAATCCAGTTATCTCTCTGGCGTGGGTTCGTTCCCCGGGAGATGATTTGGTAGTTAAGCGCGGAGGAAGGTTGTCTAGTACTGGTGTAATTCTCCAGGAACGATGGTTAGGAAACTACCCGCCTATATGACTGAAATACTGTTGGGAAATGGCGTAAAATGAAACAAACAAACAAACAGTACTGAGGAAAAAGGAGTGCCACTGCTCCTCTGATAGCTCGATCTTACCTATTTTTTGCTTTCCTTTAATCATTCATAACAAATGTTCAGTTGAATGAAATTTTCTGTATAATTTAGAACAGAGTAAAAACTGTAAAACTGGAGATATAAGCTTAAATACCTTTTAATGTTCTAAACTACTATGCCGACAGCTTTCAGTATGTATAAGAACACTCTGCAGTGAAAGCACTATCATAATGTCATAGAAAGCATTGTCTATATACTTGGTCACAGCTTCTTAATGTGTGATGTAAAAAAACTGTTCATGTAAAGTTTCATATTTGGTTATGCAATTACAAGGGAATACATAATAAAAAATAAAAATTCATGACTTGTTTTTACACTAAAGGATTTATAAGGACATAAGCTGAAAAGCTTGAAATGTTATTTAAATGCCTTCTTTTTGAATTATTTTAAAAGAAATTGCAACATTTCAATACAATTAGAATAAATCTTAACCATGTGTCTGTACTAGGTTAAACTTTTCATGCATTTAGAAGTTCTACCTTCACCGTTGGCTTCATACACTCATTTATACTAATTTAAAACCATGATCTCTGCAAGTCACTTTACTGAGGCTTTTCTGTACCCTATCACCCTCCATTATTTGAGTGTTTTTTTCCCATTAAAATTCAAGTGATGTAACGGCTAGCATACTCCCTCAAGTTCAATCAATTTATATGTGCTATTGGTTTCTGCCAATACATAGGCCTTGGCCTTGACAAGTAACAGAATTAAAGAATCCATTTCCCCTTTTTTAGACTATAAAGCTTAATACAGTTTTCTTTAATATTGATTTTCATTTTATAAATCATGTTGCCACCCTTTCCACATTATCTACATCTTTTAGTTTTATATGGTACTTTGACATGTTTTCATCTCGATTTGACAGTGTATAAACACCGGTTTCGATTTTAAACATTAAAGTGCACTTCCGTTACTATTTTTGATAACGGAAAAAACACTTAGTATTTCATTACCAACCGACTTAAGATTTTTTAAGTTAAATATTCACTGCTTAGGATATTTATTAAACGTAAGACAAATCTTGGCTAAGTTTTACTTACGTCAGTTTACGAATATGACTTAACTTGAGATAAAAAAAATCTTAGCTAAGATTGTTTTCAACTTATGTTTTAACTAAAGATAAAACTTAAGACAAGTTGTGAATACGGCCCCAGACTAAAATTACACAATTCACATTTTGTTTTCCATGTATATATGCAAACAGTGTTTACATAACATATAAAAGTACATAAATGAAGTCGCACGAATTGCCAGTAATTAACTTCTAATGTATAAACTGCTGGGAACATAAAAGTATTGGGTTCAAAACTTGTTTTAATTATGACAAAATATTACCAAGCGCTGTAAGTTACGTTTTTGTTATTTATCCATAAGAAATTCATTCTCATTCGTCTGTCCTCTACACGCCGTAAACCTTAAAAAGGCAAAAAAGTATTTTACAGATACAAAAATACCATATCTCTGGTTTAAAGCCAATAAACGTTTTTATAAAGTTTTTTTTTTCATTCTCTATCGAAAGGTTATTGTGAATGGACATCAACAGCAAACACCATGTTGATTCATTAGCCCCTGATTTAGAGTATGCATGTTCGTGCTTTGCGTAATGTGATATTAAATTTGACCGCGAACCCTTACGGTTATACAGTAAGATGAGAGGCTTAAGTAGAGGGTAAGATTGTATTGATTTTTGAGTCTAGGAGCATGCGTGATGTATTATTTTTCCGGCCGCTAATTAGAAGTCATTATTGGAATGCCTTAATATTTTCCAATGATTTTCATATTTCATGAATGAAATACAATTATTTTATCATTTTCGTTTGTCATAATACCATTGGCTACCATTTTTGTACTTTGAGTAATTCACCTAGTACCATAAAAACATGGAGAGATTTTATATAGTTCAATATATCTAACATTTATTTAAATTTGTTTTTTGGCACATAAGGTTAAAGTTAGGACAGTGAGGATAAACAAAAACTGCAGATTATATTCAATATGGAACATCTATTAATGTTGCTTTAAATTAAGAAAAGCATATACTTTTACGTTCAACCAATATATTTTTAGTTTTCACTTCAATAATAGTTATGAAACTAACACAGGAATTTTAAAAATGTAGCATTTACGTCACAGTCCCCCAGTGCTGACATATTGCTTTTGAAAACAATACACCAGAACATTGCAAAATTTGTGATAAAAATACAAGATATTTAAAAGATATTTAATGTAATATAACTCACGCGCACGCGCACACACACGCGCGTGCACACACACAATCGCATTCGCACACACACCTAGAGTTAAAAAGGAAAACAAATAGATAATAATATGATAACAGCACGTTTTAAGTGAAAAAGTTACCAATATGTGCTCCATTCCAATATGGATTATCAGCGTCGCTTATATTAATATAGCTTATCCGAAACGCTAAACTTCGAAGTAAGTATTGGACATAATTCATTTCTTTTCTTGATGCAATTGTCACAAGATGTTCATTGCCATTATTGCAATGACGGTTTGCACTATCCCAGGAATCACGTCCATCGAATACCGTGTAGCATTTTCGGAAAACCATTGAACAAGCTTAAATTTGAAGAAAAAATCATGTTCATTTAATCAATAATTTAATTGAACTTTTATGCAATATTTAATAGCAGTTTTTTCTCTTCTTTGTTATACGAATGACACTCTTTTGTAAAGAAATATGAAAAATGTTTACTATTAAATCCACATGTGGGGTAGAATTGTTTTTAAATAAAAGTTTTAATCATTTTGATCTATTTTAAATTTTAACTATTCTTTCACTAGCGAAAAAATGAAATTCCTTCGCCATGTACATATCTACATGTCGCAAAAAAAGTAAGAAGATTCCGGTTAAAAACCGATACATAAGCATGTTTTGTATAGATAAAACAAACCCTCTATAGGCAAGTATATTTAATTTATCTTACATACCTGATATTTTATTGGGATTATTATCCTTACCCACAAAAGTAGACGAGTATGTAGAATATCTTTGAAAAGAATGGTTCGACATTTTATAATGTATCCTAAATCCGTAAGGGAGCCTGTTATTTTGTATTTGAATATCAATCTCAATCCATTTTGATTTGTATTTCTTGTTATACACTTCGTAAAAACAATCAATTTTGATCTTACTATCAACATCCGTGATGACGAGGTCTAATGAATAATCTGAAAAAATGTAGTAACAGATGCTTTGTTACACGGGACAGATTACTCAGAAATTTTCACAAAAATGAGAACAATGACTAGTGCTGCAAATGGCAAAAATATTTTGCAAGTATGCTAATAAAAAAACGGTGTGTGTTGGCTTGAATGGAAAACAATGTAAAGGTTCTTAGTTTGCAGTTTATTGTGTTATTTTAATAACTATGTCAGCATTTCGTTAAACTGCGATGGACTAAACAACATCAAATAAATATCATATTCGAAATACCCTTGGGGTCATATCAACCTCACGAGTTCCCGATTTCATCTTCGTGATTTCACAATTCTAACTTTTACGATTTCACTATTTCAACTTCACTGATTCACGATTTTATTAATTCATATTTAAGACATTACGATTTCAACTTTATTAATTTCTCTTATTTGATTTATCATTTTAAAATATTATAAAGATAAAAAAAAATACAAAATAACATTATTCACCGTAAACGCAAAATAGAAGATAATACATGTACTATATAATCGTCAACCGCAAATGTTAATTTATCGCTGTATAGCCAAATTTATGGTAAAATTTACTTTTAAACAGTAGAGTACTAAAATATGACAAACAAGATCAACAAGGCAAGGCAGTGTTCAATGAACGCAACTAAAGACATGATAAATGATGAAATCGTAATTGTAAATACACGAGTGTTAAACAGATCGAATATGGGCTAAAAATGCAAACCATGCGGTATTTAGCTAGAATTCTGTTGAATTGTATACAAAAAATATATTTCAATATACATTTTCGGATTTTGTTTACATCTACTAACTATGTGGATATATGGATGTTTTACATGCTTTGTGCACTGACAATTAATTTGCAATTGACGTGTTAATACATCCCTGAAATATTACATTGAGTTAAAGCTTTCCTTTCTTTATGTCATTTTGCCAAATGTCTGACTTATGTTACATTAAACTATTTCTTTCCTCTTATAGGAAATAGGCCATTCAAAAGTAAATCTTCATTTGTTATTTATATAAACAGAACCAGAATTGCAAGAATACGGAATTTCGAAGTTTAGTTATATACGAATTTGCTATACAAACTCCGTATAAAGTAAAATACGGACTTCGTAAATCAAAGGTTTCGTATATTACGAGTGAACGGATTACCGCATTCGGAATTTTGTACACTTCCGTATATCCATATAATTTTCGCAGTGTATATCGCCTTGAAAATACCAAAATCCACCTAACTTATAGTGTAAAGAAATGCATCCGACTGACGCATAATTAGACGTTTGTACACTGACTTTCAAATCTTCAAACCAATCTCTATTTACTTGTAAAATTTAAGTTGATATTTATTTTTTGTGCATTGCAGATGTTCTTTCTACAATGACTCTTAAATATATGAGTTGGCAACAATCGATTGAAAAATGCATTACGATAACTTAAGAAATTGCAATCAATTATAACCTTAGATTTGGTTCCCTGTCCAAATTTAATAAAAACGATAAAAAATAAACGAATATAGTATTCAAATATGGCACTTTTACTTAAGTTAAACGTTTATTTCAATTCTTAAAACTCGATGACATATTAAACATCAGAAAAACTATTTTTATAAGAGCATCGGAACAAAAATGTAATTTTGTTACAAAAGAAATAACGAAAGTAAGAATAGAATTTCTCCACTGCTGAAACGGCGAAATCATATCTACGTGCACGCGGCGGATAATGAAAGCGCCAAGTCAAATAAATATCCGACACGTATGATTGTCAGGTGGTTAGCATTTAAGTAAACAGTATCATTACATTACACTACATACCACAAGGAATCCGTCAAATAACATTATATAAGCTCAAGTTTATTATTTCTAGAAGAAAAATTTATCTGAAGTTGTTAAAGATTTGAAAATTCTTACCTTTAAAATCTGAACAAAATGGTTCAATGTATATGAAGGTTAAATCAATGCTTTGATGTTCCCCGGCTTGAATTGTGAACTCTTCTTCACAATGCTGACAAAGATTCAAAGCCGAAAGAGATGTAAGGATCATGGTTGGATCAGTACAAATTTCCTTTCGTCTTTTAATTCTTCTAGATTGGCTAAGTAAATCGATTGAAAGACAGGCTGGGGTTTCTTGAATAAAATATGTGTGCCATGTAGTCTTAATGACAATATTAATTATTTTTATATAATCTATAAATAGCTTTGAAATGCCTTTCCCAGATTGGCTAACAAGCAACTTTTTGTAAAAAATAACAGGTCAATATCAGAGTATATTCACTGTTTTTTCCCTAAAAATAGATTTTCAGTATTTTCTAAAAATAGATTTCTGGAAATCCCACTAAAGACGCGAGACTATGACGTGACGTCACGCCAAGTTTGTTGTTATTATTCTGAAGAAACGTTGAGTTGGGTGTACATAAGAGTCAAATTAGTCTATTTTAGGTACCGTTTTTCATTTTTAAGAAAAATAGGGATTAGCATGCCAATGGAAAGGGCCAAATTATGGAAACAGTAGACAGGCTGAAAAATAATGATTTCCGTTGTATGCAATGGCAGATGTGATAAGCCATATAAAAACTATTTATAAATTATATAATAAAACAGATGTGTACTTTTTAGCTGTTGAATATGATGTGATATGTACTGAAAAATTAATATTGACCTCGGCTATCGCCTTGGTCAATATTAATTTTTTCAGTACATATCACATCACATTCAACAGCTAAAAAGTCCATGTTTGTATAATATACATTTTCATACTATGACATTGGCATGATAAACTTTGTATAATTAAATGTACATTAATAGAACATAACACAAATTAGTTAGAATCGTATTTTAAGCGCAATGGGTTGTAAGAAAGGTTATCGTTTTATATATATATATATATATATATATATATATATATATATATATATATATATATATACATATATATATAATATATATATATATATATATATATATATATATATATATATATATATATATATATATATATATATATATATATATATATATTAAACACAAGACAATCGGTCAATATGTAATATTTGTAAGGTTTTCTTTTTCGTACTGTATGTAAAAATATTTTGGAAAATAACAATTTTCATCAGATCTAAAACAATGATTAAATGACTTGAAAACGGGCAAACCCGCAATATTTCATTTGGTAGATACACACATATGAAACAAACATTATAGTTTGAAAAGACGTTACAAACTTTAATTATTTATTGATATATTAAATTGAAATATTTACTGTTATATACAATAATATTAATGTATACCTTCAGCAGTAATGATTGCCCGGAATTTTATTGCTTGGGGCCATACTGTTTTTAGAATGGTTGTTAAAAAAAGCAAGCTTATGTTTGTTTCTATTACGAATATTTTGTCGTTGAAATCGTCATCAATGATAAATTCTTTGTTGTCTATGTGCGATGTTTTAACAACGAGTGCACACTGCAAGAATATACAATGTCATATAAAAATAAAAATTCTGAAACAAAGTGAGTATTTCTGCTATCAACTATCATTACATAATGGAACTTCAGAACATATTCAGATATGGTATTACTAAACAATTTTTTGACGAAAGTGAAGATGAGAAAGAACGTGTCAATGTTTTGAATTTCAAAGGTAATCATGGTAAGACATGATAACGGATAAAAGTTTAATCTTAGGCTAAAAGTAAAATCATAGAAAATCATTCGAAAAAAGAGCGAAGTGAAACTATATTTAGAAATTATAAGAACTATTATTTCGGTATACTTTAGTTCACATGTATTACATATAAACACATGCTCTTCTGCCCGTATAGATTCTTGCTCTTCCTCTTCGAATTCGTCAATCAACAGTTTATAATTAAACCTCTTGACTATTTGAGTTATTTTTTCCTTCTCCTTGGACAAAAAACTCGTAAAAGCAGGATATAATAGACAAACATGACAGTTTTATTCAACAACAAATACAATCAATTTTATTTTCTATCCATATATTAGCAAAATAAACATAACAGTTTTCAAATTCATCATCACGCACAACCCGCTACAAACCCATGGCCTTGAAAAACAAACAAAACAATAACAAATACAAGTATCAAAAACATACAAATCTACTAAGATGCTTCCTTTATATACCTCCTTATTAGCATAACATGCAAGACAGGTCAGTATCAACTTGCAAGAATGAGTCTTTCGTGTGAAACATTTTGTCTCAGACAAAAACCTTAAGCATATAAATCACTTCATACATCTGTCATATGCATGTAAACATAAAAATACAATAAAGCAGCTGTAAAGCAACTTAACACCTGTAGCACGAATAAATACAATAGAACAATCCCATTAACAGGCATCTGCATAACCTCCGGAGCAAATCACTTTTAAAACTGGCCATTACCAACTTGCAAGATTAGGCCCTTCCTGAGAAACCAAATCTCTAAAGGAAAGACATAATGACAGTCACCAAATTTCAACAGAAACACGAACAATTTGACGATTCTAATATTAAAGATTTCAACTTACATGCAAACTAAAGATTTCAATATACATGAAATTTCTAGCTTCTAGACAATATGCATCGTTCCCACACTAATTACTTTAAGTGTGCAATAGTGTTAATGATAAAATCTTTTCTTCAAGATTAAGCTGTTAACCACCATTCTTTCTGAACAATACTCTTGGTGGGGAATGCCAGAACTAAGAAAAGACTTGGAAGTTCTAATAAAAGATTTATTTCTAGATTTTCTTAATAGTATAAATTAATAGTTTTAGACAAGGAATAATAGCGGGCACATTTATGCTAGCAGAAAATTGATGACGATCGTTGGAAGTTGTTATCAGCCGGAAGAATGTCAACCACTAAACAACGGCAAGTTACATCATTGTTACACAAACATGTTTTATGATGATCCACTTGACCTTGAGAATTTCTAAAACTAAATTGAGTACTTCACACCCTGAAACATTTTGGCTTTAAATGTCCACTTTCCTTCCTCGAGTGAATAAGAAACCACATTTGATTTGTGTGCTAGTAGTAAACAAAAACAAGAGCCTTCGCCTGGTTGGGACAACGGTCTACTAGATTCTATTTTTGTTTACCTTTTTCTAAAAGCAAACAAATAAACGTTTGAACAAATCTTTCCAAAAAATAAAGAATTTCTTTCCCTTTTCTGTTTTTCCATTTAAATAGGTTTGTCTAGTCTCACTTGTTGTTTTGTCCGAGTATGAATATTTTCCATGAATAAATGACAAAGTAAAGGATATTTAATCAAAATTCAATCTTTTGACGATCAGTGTCTTTTAAGACCAAGGTCATATCTAAATAATTCAACATTTCTTTTTAGTCACAAGTGTTGTTTTGGCCTCTTATACATCAAATAATTACATAAATAACGAAATTATGACAACTTACCCGAAATTCAATAATTTTACATTGACAGTTATGGTCATGTTAAGCTCAAGGTCAAGGTCAGGTTAACATTTCAAAATGTCTTGTCCAACAGTTAATTTGTCCAAGTATGAAAATAATCAATTGACTTATTACCAAATAAATAAATGTTTTCACCATCAAGATCAATGCCATACATGAATCAATGTCAATTTGAGTTTTTTAATCAAACAGAACCGTTCTGACCTACATAATGTTGTGTTTTAATATGAAGTTAATTCATGCCTAAACAACAAGGTCATAGCCAGTTACTGGAAATAACAAAAGTTTTGTGGCAATTCTTGCTTCGTCCTTGTATAAATAAAAAAAATAACAAAATTATTACAATTTATCCGAAATTCACTCATTTTGCCTTGACGGTCAGAGTCATTTAACCCTTTACCCCATATATACGCGAAACAACGCACTTTCGACACCCCCCCCCCCTTTTTTTAGGCCTCAAATAGTGAAAAAATGTCCTATTTGGGCCCCAAACACATGTTTTCGTTTGCGAAATGTTGCTAAAAAAAATAAGCACTTTTTGGCGCCGCCCCCCATCCAAAAGATACATCAGGGGGTTGCCAGAAGGGGGATTTGTCCCCTTCTGTTAGGGGGTTTTGAAGGGGGGGCGGAGTCCCCCTCATCGCCAAGAAATTTTGGACTTGTGAGAGGCTAAAAATGACCCCAGGCCGATCATAATGTAACGTGTAACCAACGCTGAAAAGCCTTTGACTCTATCTCAATCCCTTGAGAAGTTGCAGCACTTTGAAATAAATTTTGATGGAAAAAATCGAGGCAAAATAGTGATTTTTGGCAATTTTGAGATGTCCCCTCGTTGCCATGGTAACAGGAAATTTAAGACTGAGCATGTCGTTACAAAGGCAATGGTCCAGTCAATATTTGTGCCAAGTTTGATTAGTATTAAAGCATTTTTCATAGTTTCATTGCAGTTTGAACTTGTAACAGGAGGCTTTTCAGTGCAAACGGCCATTTTTCACAATATGCTCATGGGGGAAAGGGTTAACTAAAAAAATTATAAATGTTACAAAAACAACAGTTTCATATCGTTCGTAAAAATAAATTGCGTCATCGTCCGGTTGAAAAAAATTGAATCTGTGTTATTTATCGCTTTAAAGTATTCGGCGAAATGTGTACAGGTTATACTATGTTTTTTCTGCCCTTATACCTGTATTCTTTAATAGCTTCCAATATTCTTTTGCATTTTTATAACGGAATTTTTCTAATTTTTCGGTTTCCTGAATATCGTGATTAAGCTTTTTATTTCTAATTAATGTTTTATAATCCGTTCTAGATTTTACCATATTTATTCTATTTTCTGTAGTTTTATCTGCTCTATAAATATTCAAGTTTCTATAAAATTCTTTTTGTTTCCCCTTACAGTCATTATCGTACCAATTATTTCTTTGTTTCGTTTTTTCGGGTTATTTGCCCTTTTTTTGAAGATTGGGTCACATACATTGGACAAAAACTCATTAAATTCTTGTAAATTTTGATCTATATCTTGATTTTCCGATACTAATTCAAAATTTTCGATTAATGGTGCCAAAGCGTTCAAAGATTCTAAAAATTCAAATCTCTTGTCATTATTCCATTTGTATGAGTTATCTGCATATTCACATTTTTGATCATCTAAGTTTCTGTAATTGCTTTCTTCGTTTAGGGCAGCACGTTTGATTGAAAAATTTATCATACAGTGATCGGACATAATGTTCGGCTCCTCAACTTCGAATGAATTAAAAAATGGTATTAATCTTGGAAAACAAAGAACATAATCTACTGTACTACTGCCAGATTCCTTAATACATGTATATTTCCCTATGTGTTTGTCCTTACCAACCCTTCCGTTCGTTATTCTCAATCCAGTCATTTTACAAAAAATCTATTAAAAATCGCCCGTTTTCGTTTATAATTTGATCTTGAAATATCCTAGGTAAAACTAAATCTTCTGAATAATCTTCTGGCATGAGATTAAGATTAAAAAGATATTCATTTTCTACAAAGTCATGTAAATTTCCGACTCTGCTATTTAAATCGCCAGTGATAATAAAATTACAATTTTCACCATAAACGCTTTGAAAATGTATCATATCTTCCATTAATAAATCAAAGATACAAGAGTTACTTAAAACTTCCCTAGAACTCCCTTTCGGTACATTGTAACATAAACAACATATTATATCTGTATCATAATTACACAAACACTTATCTAATCTTATCCACATAATATAGTCTTCCGTAGATTTTATAAATTCAACAAAATGTTTAATACTGTTTTTCACATATATAATAATACCGCCGCTGTCTCTGCGTGCGTTTTTATATGTAAGTGTACGGTCAAGTTTATAATGCATAAAACCTTCTACATCACATGCTAATTTATCGTTTAACCATGTCTCTGTAAGTAAAATTAGGTCTTTATTTGAAAATAATTCTAAAAGTTCTGTTGACTCCAGTTTATTATACTGCTTTCCTCTCAATCCTTGTATATTACAAAGAGAAATACGCAGTTCACTTTTCTCCGCGTTTTCCTATTCACACGAGTTCGCTACTTCGGGCCCCTCTGATGTTTCGACTTTATTTGCAGTTGGGTTTTTACGGGGTCTATTTTTAGATACCGACCTACTTCTGCCTTACTGTTTTATAGTTTGTTGATTCGGAGTGCTTTGTGTTTTATTCGGATTAATGTTCGCTGTTTTGGAATTATTTGTGTTGAAATTGCATTGACTGCTGTTGTCCTATTTATGCTTCTGCTGCGCCGTGGTACTTTGAACAACAGTTACTGTTTGAGAGATGTTTCCTCGCTTACAGGTAAGTTATTTTCCGTTCCAGCCTCACATGTATTTTTAGCACGTTGTGTAATTGAACTTGACCTTGTATATGAAATGTCAGCTGTGTTTACTATTTGTAAAGTGGGGGCGTGGTCCATTTTATGTGTATTGTTTGTTTCTGTACTGTCGAATACTTCATTGTGTGTAT